TACGTATCGCGTTCGTGATTTTTTTGATATCTTTATATAATATACTAGCTAAAGTAATTCCTAAAAAAATTGTATTTTTATATTTGACAATATAAAACGCTGGTAAAAATATTTTTTTTGGTTCTGTCATTCATTATTTTTTAAATTTTGGTCAAATTGGTAATTTTAACAAATATAATAATTTCTCTCTTATGGAATGTGTGAATAGAAAAATTACTCTATGGAACGAACCCCATTGTGAAACATCCGCATTTGAAACAATAAAAATGTTATTTGGCGGTGATACTTTAAATGTAAAAGTAAAATTTTTGGATGACGCAATTGTTAATCGTACACCATGTATAGTATTAAGTAATAATGATATTTTCCCCAAAGATTAAGTTTTCAGAACAAGAATGTATAGTTAGACTTGGTGAAGTTGTCCTGCTTTAAAAAGTTGTAAAAAAAACCTTTATTTTTGCCATTACTATATCAAATGTATAATGTTATAGATGAGAAAGGTGCACCCTTCACGGATGATGATTAAACTGATTGTGATTCTGATTAAATATTTTGTTAATAAAAAAATCATACAAAATACAGATTTTTACTTTACATTTTACAAAATTTCTTATTTATTTTAGACAAAGTTGAATCTGTTACAATTTCAAAGTCATCGTCATCATTGTCTACATGAACTATCAGCACTGGTTTTTTTTTAATCCATTGTCTCGTCCGGAAAGCTGGGGAATCATAATTAGACGGGTTTTTAAATATGTTAATCTGTTTGTGTATTTGAAAAATTAAGAGAGTTGAGTTATCTCGATAAGTCAACTCCCGTAATTTATCAAATGTCTGGTTCTTTTTCGGGTTCATGAATTGTCTTGACGGTTCTGTCTAAGTTCTGTTCCACACCAGCAAACGTTTCTGATGTGGTGTAATTCTGATCATGAACATAGCCGTATTTAACCTTTTGTGGCATAGAAGCAACGATACCATAAGTGAAATAACTAGATATGTCAATAGATGCATCCATTTCATATTCGCACATGCAATAAACCACTGTCATTAGAAAATTTTCGAATTCGGTGGCTGGGTTTACTTGCGGTATAGCACCGACTCCGTCATGAAGCTGAGGCTGAGGTATCATTGTAGCGTTACTGTCTACTGTCCGGTTTTGCCAAGTTACCATATAAAAGACGTTCCAAAAATTCTTGCAGAAAGTATAAGATTTAATAGATTTGAACGGATATTTCAAATCTTACATTTGAATAATGACACAAATTCCTTGGCTCGGCTTCCTCTGAAAGGCTGTATAAGTTACGACCGCTGCTAGATAGTCTAAGTGAATCTTTCCGAAAACATTACGGGATGCATGCTCATCCAGTCATTATAGCGTCGACGAAAGAGTGATCCTATACTACGGAAAACATTACGCCAAGCAGTTCATCAGAGGAAAGCCGATAAGACTTGGTTCTAAAAATTGGGATTTATGTGCCAGTACTGGTTATATGGTGGCTTTTAGTGTTTATGTCGGAAAAACTACAGAAAAGAAAGATTTTGAGTTAGGTGGGGATGTAGTTCTCAATCTTATAGAAATAGGAAATTTGCCAGTCAACAGTGGCATAAAAATATATTTTGACAACTTAATCACATCTTTGTTTTTGATGAGATATTTGAGAGAGTTGGGATATTTTGCGACTGGCACAATACGGGCCAACCGTGTTGAGAATTGTCCGCTAAAAGACATAAATCAGTTCAAGCGAGAAGAACGAGGTCACAGTCATTACCGAATCTCTGAATATGTATTTCTATGTCGCTGGAATGACAACAATGTAGTCACTGTGGCAACCAATTTCGAAAACTGAGTGTCTCCTACAGTCTTCTATAGCAGCCAGCTACAACAAGAACATGGGTGGGGTAGACAAATGTGATGAAACTGTCGCGAATCTTCGCACAAGAATGCGAATAAGGAAATGATGGGGGACGATCGTTTCCTACTTTTTAGATATGTCTGTGGTGAACAGCTGGTTACTTGCTAGGAAAAATGGTTGCAATAATGAGACGGCATTATTATTTTCATTTCGAAGGTATATTGCTCGAAGCTTGGTTGCCTCACATGGAACTCCGCCGCATCAAGGGCAAAAACCAGCTAAACCCTTGTCTAACACACGATATAATGGCAAAGATCATTGGGCTGTACCCATAAGTACAGAACGCCGCTGTGCTAATCAGTGTGGAGGAAAATCAAAGTTCAAATGCTTGAAATGTGTAAAATATGTTACAAGATTTCAGGATTCCTTGAATATAGCATCAAAAATTTCTCAACACGAGTTTGATGAAAATTGGGCAAAATTCTTTCTGCAAATTGCGTCCATTTCGGGTTGTTGTGCCTTAGCTTACAGACCGTGACACCTGTGCTTGTGTTACTCATGAAAACATCAGTTTGAAATTAGGTGCCTTAAAAAAGCAAATGTTATTGACTTTGCAACATATCAAACTGCACTGGAAACAATTTGCCGTGATCGTTACTCAGAAAAATGCTTAACAAGAACTTGCCAGGACTGCTCCATGAAGATTTTACCATAAAAGAAGTTTGATAATAGTACGAATATTGCAGTCAAACAATGGAAGCGTAACAAAAAATAATTACCGTCTTCACCATAAGGGCACACGGAGCCCGTGCCTAGGGCCTCATTCTCAAGGGGCCCCGAAGGACCGCCAATTTCTCTCACGGATTTATTCTCTAAACCTTTTTGTCGGGCACATTACACTTTTTTCACAAATCAGTAATCTTATCAGAAGGTTAGGAATTAACAAGGCATATACTACGCCATTATATCGATGACTGCGCCTATTCGTAATGTATTTTCGAACGCATCCTACCTAATTTTTCTACGTAAAATACACTATGCTACGCATATTATATATATTGATGATACTATTAATTAGGCCAGCCCGATTAATTTGCCCTCGATGTACTTGAGAGTTTTGTAAAAAATCAAAGCTTCGTGCTTATGATACTGTTGCGAATTCTTTTGTAAATACCCTATTGTAAATATTCTCTTCTGTACATATTTATTGTTTTCTAATGTTTTTAGTTTTAATGTTCAGAGTAATATTTTTTGTTAATGTCAAATATTATTGTCTTTTCTTTTATTATGTTGCGAATTCTTTTGAAAATACCTTATTGTAAATAAATTAAACTTTACTTTTGCGGAGAACTGCTGTACTGTAATCATCACCCGTCGACGCTGAGAAGCTGCAGTCAAACTCCCAAGCAAGTCAACAAAAATTTCACTAGACCACGCGTCGTCTCAAAATACCGAACGAACAAAAATTTCCTTCCAACATGCTCCCGTCACCATCGTTTCAATTAGATTTCAAAGCATCGAACATGGCAGTCGCATGGAAATTTTTTCGCTATCTTTTCGCATCTATATTTAGGCAAACCTCTCGAACATGAGTCTAATTCGAGAAAAGTCGCCCTTCTACTCAATACTATGAGCACAGACGCACTTCAAATTTTTACCAAAAGTCAATATCACCTTAGAAAGACTCAAACTAACCTCATCAATAAGACTTTGTTCTTTGGTTTCAAGAAGGCATACGAAGCGCATCAAAAGCAAGAATTCACTGTCACCAAATGAGCTGTAACGCTGCCCGTTTCTTCCCGCTCAATTGGTCTTACGACTCAAGCCGTATTCAGTATGCATATGCATTCTACCGCACTATTCCAGAATGCACGCCTTGGGCATTTTATCGGGTATCACTCGGACAGTTGGAGCTGAAACTGATGTCAGCAACCAGGACCCAAGTCCTTCCTACAGCAGCAGGTCAGGGCGATTTATTTTATCGTCCCCGCATGTCAAGCGATTTAAGGACCTGATTCGCAGTTCTGCTGTTAATATCACTCCGATTGTAAATACCATCCATGCAGCCGGAAATTTTGAATGTTCCGGAAAGATATTTTATGTAGAACCCAAGAACCACCCAGGTGTGCTTTTGAACAACTTGCGTCACTTTTACAAAAGGCACGACGTTATTTATCATAACCAATTCGGGTTTCAAGCTGGGAAAGGCACTAATGATTTGTTACTTGAGTTTACGGATGAGGTAAATGAGTGCCTTAACGCGAGGAAACACGTTTTGGTTTTGTTGATTGATTTATCGCGTGCGATTGATACGTTAAACCAGCGACAACTGATTACGAGGTTGGATGCTTGTGGGGTGCGAGGACCGCTCCAAAGTTGATGTACGAATTATCAACAAAACCGGAAATTCACAGTGCGGATAGGTGATGCGTACAGCGAATCAGTCTCAGTGACAGAGGGCACGGCTCAAGGATCTGTGCTTCGACCTCTCCACTTTTTATCTTATGTAAATGAAATGCGTCAATGTATTTTGCATAGCACCTAATTAATAATTTATAGCTATTCCAATTTTCTGCTCAAATTGCAGCTTAAGAAACGTATGATAATTGTTCTCTTTTTTAGTATATAATTTAATAACCACAAGTTCTAGACAATTCACAACTTTACTATTTTGATTCCTAATATTACAGCTATCAAATGTCATTTATCGCATTTGTGTACACCAATTTTATTGGGTGGGTTAAACCTCTATAGAACTGCTGGCATTGACCTTTCGAAAGAATTTAAGCCTTAAACTGGTTCGTGAGCATTTGCGCAATCGTAAAGATGCCATTCAATTGCCAAGACTTATGCGCTAAAGAATAAGAGAGTTTTAAGGAGAACCTGATGAGGAGCCACCTGCGAATATACCTAATGTAAGAAAGAGATGCCAAGACTGTTCTGCTAAAAAAGATAGAAAATCTAATAATACTTATCGGAGCTGTAGCAAATACATCTACAGTAAGCATGCAATGTTGTACTACCGAGATTGTGCAGATGATAAGGATACTATGACTGACGTATGAGATATCGTCGTTGATACTGCAATGCCGCGGAACAAACATTGGGCGATACCGCGGAACTACCAAAAAATCAAAATTGAGATTTCGCGCGTATAGGTTCTTGATGGTGATTGGGTTCGTTTCGTGTGGTCAGTTGAGCGCGTCAACCAATCAAAACGCTTAAAACGACACAAGCAAAGACCGCGAGAGCAGCTGTCACATGAGGAAGTAAATAAAATACCGCGTATCTACGCGTTCATACAATGAGTGGTCTTTTTGTTTGTGCTTAGTGAATATTAATGTTTTTTTGAAGAAGTATTGGAATTGCAGGTAAGCAAATTTTAATTTACGATTACCAAATAGATTAGTTACTCACTGAAAGTACGGACAGTTTAAAAATTATAATATTGGATTTATAACGATGTCTGTAAAGTTTTCATGGTAGATACGCGGTATTTTCATGATTTGTATTTCATTTTTTATTGTACTTACGCGGGTTTTACTTTACAATTAATACGTTTATAAGAACATAACTAAGGAAACTAATTTATGTGCTAAATATAAATACAATCTACCTATAACTAGATACGAATATCGTTTTCTATTGCAGCCAAATCCAAATATGTTTAAGTAAAACGTTTCAATTATACACCAATGCCATACATTATTTCAAATAAGTAATTACTATAATTTCTTATTCAGATAATCATGGAAAAGGATCGGGATACCAATGTAGCAGAGCTTACTGATTGCAACGTAAAAGTTGTAACTTTAATGGACCTAAAAATACGACGTCAGGAGCTTTTACGTAAAAAACAAAAAGTTTTAGACAGAATGCTTCCCCAAAATCCATCTCCAATTTCTCATCCACTTCAACCTACGTTTGAAGCTCTAACTACTTACGAAACTACAGATATTGATATTGCTAATTGTGACACCTTGATCTTTGATACTATTTGTTCAACAACTGTTTCCCCGGACGATGCAGAAGAAACTGTCACCTATCCTCTCAACAACTCCATCAATGAACCGCTTGCTATCCCGGATATTGCAGAAGAGACCATAAATATACGAATAAATATTTCTCCTGACGATTCTATCGCCGATTCAAATTTTGTACCGCTCTCTGATATCACGAATGTAGAGCCTATGTTATCTAATGATCTAAATTCCTTTCCGGAACAAAATTTAGAGGCAGATGCAGCAAAAGCGTCAAGAAAACGAAAACGAAAAGCTGACCGTGAAACCTGGAAAAGAGATTTAAACAGGAAAGATAGAATGTTAGGCAAAGCTTATACTGGGTTTAAAAAAGTTAATAACAAGTATATTCAAAACGAACCAAAACCTAAAAGAACTATGGGTCCTAAGTGTAGCTCGTCATTTTGTGCACGTAGTAAAATTCTATTTTGTTCCAATTTAACTGAGGAGACACGACAGCAAATTTTTAAACGTTTTTGGAATATGACATGGAAAGAGAAAAAAATGTATGTAAGGTCGATGGTTGACACACAAATTGTAAAAAGGAAGACGACAGGAAGTGAGTCTAGACGATCGGAAACTAAACTATATTATCTGCAAATAAACGGTAAGAAGGAAAGAGTTTGCTTAAAATCATTTTTAGCGACCCTAGCTATAAAAGAGTGGACTGTTCGCTACTGGATTTGTAAAACAGTAGACGTCAATTCTGATCATACAAATTTTACTCCAAGTTTGCCTACCTCTAAACAAGATTCGGTAAAAAGTTACCTCAACTTATTGCCCAAATTACCATCACATTACTGCCGCCAATCAAGCACTAAACAATATTTGGAACCTTTACTACAATCCAAGTCACAACTATATAAGTTATACGTCGAATATGCCTCATCAGCATCTATGCCAGTAGCTTCGAGAAAGCTCTTTTTAGACATACTTGCGGAGCAAAATATCGCCTTGTTTCAACCTAAAAAAGACGCGTGTGACTATTGTTCCTCATACAAAGCAGGTAATGTTCGAGAGGAAGATTACCAGCGCCACATCCAGTTGAAAAATTTGGCTCGATCTGAAAAGACAAACGACAAAGAGCTTGCAAAATGTGGGAAAATTCATACCTTAACTGCGGATCTACAAGCAGTAAAACTATGCCCTTCTTTGTCAGCTAGTGCACTATATTTTAAAACGAAGTTAGCTGTCCATAACTTTACTGTTTATAATCTAGGTACAAATGAAGTGACTTGTTACTGGTTTGATGAAACAGCATGTGATTTAAAAGCAACAACGTATGCTTCGTTTTTTGTTGATTACCTAAGAAACCTGCTAAGTGAAAATCTCAAAGACGTTGTTATATGGACCGACGGATGCACTGCTCAAAACAGAAATGCTGTTGTATCGAACGCTCTTCTCAGACTAGCAATGGATAAAAATGTTACCATCACTCAAAAATACCTCGAAAAGGGGCACACTCAAATGGAGGTAGATTCGGTCCATTCACTTGTTGAAAGAAAACTTCAAAATATTGAAATTTTTTTGCCATCTCAGTATGCGTCTCTGACCAAGGAGGCCAGGAAAAAACCTTTTCCTTATAAAGTTATACAACCAGATCATACCTTTTTCAAAGACTACAGCGCCAAAGAGTATCAAGTTTATGACTCCATAAGACCTGGGCGTAGTTCTGGTGATAACTGTGTAGTAGATCTACGAGTATTGAAATATAATGCCAATGGTACTATAGAGTTTAAAAAACATTTTGATGAAGAATTTAGGCCATTGCCCCGAAGACCAAGGAATATTTCAACATTGATAAGCGAAGTACCATTTCTTTATTCTTCTAGATTGCCTATATTGGAGAGTAAATATTTACATTTACAACAATTAAAGACTGTAATTCCCAGTGACTGCCACCACTTTTATGATAATTTACCGTTTCATAAAAAATAAGCAAGACTGCATTATTACATTTTTTAGAAACGGTAAATTATCAATACATAATGAGCAATCTCATTTATACTGAATTAAGTTTTGTACTAGGTATAAATGTTACAGGTTTCTATTTTAATAGATGTTATAAAGTTTTGTTATAGTTTAATTTGCGTTTTCGAGTCAAATATGTTTAAAATTTTGAACTTTATTTATTTTTCTGTTTTTCATGATGTGGCAGTGGTTATTATTAGTAATAGGTAACTTTTCTACCTCTTAAATTATCAGCATTGTAGTTCATGGTGATTGAAATATTAAGACTGATTAATCTGAGATATAATAATTATTGTTAAATTACTTTAATTAAGTAATAAAGGAACCTTATAATATTATAATGTTTATTTACACCCTTTTTGTATTACGCGTAACTAAGAAAAATGCGTAGCGGCAACCCAATTTTGATGATGCAATACCGCGAAAGTGATTTTATTAATTTGCTAGTTAATTTAACAGTATATATACTCTATTAGAAGCTAAAGTACATAAATTCATAAACATGTTATAGTTTAGTCGGCCGTAGATGTTGTAATACCAAGCATATTAAGTATTTTTTCTCTCCTGTAAAATTGATCATTAGCGATTTACGCGGTTTTAACCACTGTTGGTTACGCGGCATTACAGTATCAACGACGATATACAAATAGTATAATATTATTAGTCTACTAAAGATTTGATAACCATGTTACAAATTAATTTATGTTATAGAAAAAAGTTTGTTTTGTTAAAATTTTATTACTTTAAGACATGAGGTTGTCCATTTTGTTAATATTTTGTGACACTTTTATAAAAATGTTTCATATCATGTTGTTTTTTTTTCTACTCAAAACCTATAATGATAATCGTATTATACAGATAGTACAACCACAAACCAAATTTATTTTAACTTTTGTAATTATGACATTTTTTTATACGGGTCCTCTGGACCCAACCCTACTGTTGTTGTTTTATATTTGTTTTTGACTATTTTGACTGTGCTGCCGCTGGGTTAAATAAAATGTTGTGAGTACATACGTTTTGTTTCATTTTTAAACAGCTTTCCTGCAAAATTATCTTTTTTGAGTTGCATTACTCTTCATACGAAGTAGCGATATATAAATATTTCTTTTAATTTTATGCAAACATTTTTCATTTCTTTTTTGAGAAATCTTTACCCTTCCTAAGGGCCCCAAACAATTTTTTATATTTTTGGTATTGTATGAAAACAAAGCTTTGTGAGCACAATTTCACAATGTTTAACCTAGCCACAAAAGATGCCCATTGTTACTGGTTTGACGAGCACAATGCAGTTTTTGCATCATGTTTCATAGATTGCCTGAAGAAACTCTTATAGAAAAACCTTTGACAATAATCCTATTTTCACAAAACAGAAACATTGTTTTAGTCAATGCTCTTAGATTTAGCCATGGAATGAAATATTAATAGAAAAAGGTCATACCCAAATGGAGTGTGACTCCAGCCACAAGGCAACTGAATTCAGACTTAAAAATAAGGAGATATATTTATGTATGCCTCCATTTCCAATGAGGCTCAGTCGAAACAACCTTTCATTGTTAACTTTTTATCATACTACTTTTTTTTTGACTGACAAAGCTGATTTTTTGTACGAATCCATCCGGCCTGGTCGAGTCGCAAATGATCCTACAGTCACAAATTTGAGAGTTGTAGAATATAACCCTAACGGCATTATAAACCAGAAGATAAGCTTTGAAGACTATAAAAATTTGCATTTATGCATTGCTTCACTGACCTTTGAATCAACCAGATTTGAAAAAACTAAATCTTCATGAAGACCACTTTGCACCCCCAAAACAAAACAGAATCTGTTCACCAGTGTCACCATCTTTATCAAATTCGGTAACCAAATAGATAGATAAAGAATTTGATGATGTTTTTATACAATCACAGCCAAAATCTCATCAAATCGAGTGGCAAAACTACAACTACATTGCGTCCAAAACGTATGAATTATTAGGACTTCTTTTTGAGGTTACCTAAAAAATTAAATCTTCACTAAGACGATTCTTCATTCCTTTTTTGGTGCTTTTGCAGGAATACTGATTTTGATTTATTTTACAAAACCACTATATCAATGCCTAACAAAATAAATAAAACCGACATGTAGATTTCAGTATATACTAAACAAAGTTACTCTATGATTTCAGTAGAAATAAAGAATCTTTATTATGATCACTTTTTTTTTAGGATTCTCCCTTTAAGGGAAGGCAAAAGGAACAATGCCCATACAGCCTAATCTTTCTTTACTTAAATAAATCTTATTTTTTACTTGAAAATGTCGGTGTGACGCATTTTAATGTTTCTTAGAGTGTCTGGCACAAAATGTATCGAGTTGGCTTTTTCGATAAGCTTCTGTCAGGTAGTCCACACTACAATAAAGTTCTCACGTCCACTTGATCGGAATAGCATATATTTTAAACATTTCACTAATACTTCAGTTGCGTAGACAACACAAAATCACACTAATTTTATTTCACAATATCCACTATGAACGAATTTAAGAATAATTAAAATAAGTCGCCAACCGCACTCGATAAAATCCCGTCAAAAACCCCTATCATCCTATCACTTAGATTTTCAATTAGATCCAGCAAGGAAAATTAATCTTAAGGCCGCTGCATAAGTGACGAGTAAATACTTCGGACGGGACGTGAGCGGAACGGGCACGTTATTATCACGTTCAAAACGGGAACGTAGTGCAAACGCATATACACCGTAACAGTGATTCGGATCTAACGTGCTAGTGTTCATTTTATAATGACTGGAAATGTAATTTTATAATTTTATATTCTTGGATCAACGTGTCATTACAGATCTGCTCGGAATGAGCGGAACAGAGCGACTGTGCTATGCATACGTAGCGAAACCACGAGCGGGACGGGGCACGCGCAGGGCGTGACGGGACGGGGACGTGCTAAACATCGTCCGCGACGATATTTTTCCAGTCCACGTTCCCGCCCCGTCCATGTATCCGTGACATATGCGTTTTTGGATACATTGTGTATGAAACGATGTTTCCAAAACTTCCCGTCCCGCCCGGATAAAAACTCGTCGCGTATGCAGCGGCCTTTACTATTGTTTTCTCTTTTTAAGGAAGGTAAAAGGAACAATGCCCATACAGCCTAGTGTTCAGTTTTCTTTGTAGAGAGAGTTTAGGTATAGAGAAGCCATTAGCGTATACAGTCTGATCACTTCAATTAGATCCAGCAAGGAAACTCAGTCTTACTATTGTTTTCTCTTTTTAGGGAAGGTAAAAGTAACAATGCCCAGGCAGCCTAGTCTTTTGTTTTCTTTGTAGAGAGAATAGGTATAGAGGAGCCATTAGGGTATTCAGTCTGAGACAGCGAATGTGCTATACTTACATACATTTTGTTGATGTTGTAGTTTGTGTTGCCAAAAGTCAAACTTTACCTCATTGGTGTGTAATAGCTAGCATGTTTATAAAGTGCTTACCCAAAGCACACACATTCGTTTCTTTGATCACATTGGTCAAAGATATTTGACTAGGAAACCTACCGCTTTCTAGGAATTTGTATGCAACGCTTTCCGATGCAAGCAAGTGCCTAGATCCGAAAGCTGCCAAACTTGAGGTGGAGTTCTAAGTCTATTGTATTTTCTGTAACGTTTAAGGAGTAAAGAAAATAAATAAAACAAGTTTAAACGGGTTAGATACACTGATTTTATTTATTTATTGACGTTTCGCAGCCTTTTCAGGAATGCGTCGTCTGTATATTTATTTTATTTACTTCGCTACGTTCTACGTAGCGAGCATTCTACGCCGAGCTACGTTCGAAAGACTTTTATTGAGCGTTCGAATATTTCATTGGAAGATTTTTAATTTATTTGCTAATTTAATTAATAAAGTACTTTATTTAAAATTCTTTTTTATAATTTTGGACAACACAAGCACATATATATGACTTGGGTACCTTAATCGAATTGGAATCGGAATTCATAAACTTGAAACAAATAACAAAATCCTTTACATAACTTTTATTGATTTTCAAAAATAATTCTTAAAACAATTTATACATTCACAATTACATACTTTGTTTTTTTTTATCTTAACATTTTTACATGCAGTGTGCTTCATAAACAAACATTATAAATGATTCTTCTGATTGTAACGTTAAAATTATAATTAGTATTTTTCAGTATTTCTGGATGTGATTAAAACTATTAAAAATATAGACTTGTTGTCAATCACAACCAAAATCCTTGATGTACACACATACAAAATATACATTATAATAATAGGGTACATATTTCCTTATTTTGTTGACGAGTTTAAAGCATATTTATCGACCAATTATATCAGTCGCATAACTTATTCTTATCCAAAAACCAAATGAAGGACTAAGAACTAGTTACTAGATTTACTTGTAATGGACAAGGGTGTCGATTCTGACATGATTCTCTAAACTTAAAATTAATTTAACATCAGTCTCTGTGGTCAAATTTAAGTTTAGGTTTAGAGAATCCTGCCAAAATCGACACCAATGCATTTGTTACATTGTGAAACAGTTTTACAAACATTAGTTTATTTGTTTTTAACTTTCGTCTCAGAGGAAGTTGAATAGAGTACAGGCCACATAATTATAATAAGTTATGTCACCCTATTTTTTTTTTCTACAAAACCGTAAAGTTAATTTATGAACACAATTATACAGTTTCCTTAATTAATAACAATAATACATAAAACGTTGTGATATGTTTAAGTACCTGCCTGATGGATATCTACAAGTCTAATTGAAGTACATAAATTATCTACTTATAATTATTCCACACAATAACAACTGTGCAATCTTTTTTATGGTTAAAAAAGTGACAGTTCGTAGGTATACAGTTGGTAATACCAGTCGATACAGATTATAAACAAATTCTTTTTCCACTCAGGGGGAGGGTAGGACGTACCATGAAGCTTTAAAACGATCCAGAAGCAGTTGTCAAAGCGAGATGTCATATACAGTATATATCATTTGGCTCACTCTCAAAGAGATTGCACCCGTTCAAATTATCAGAATATTTATATGCAAATCAAGTCACTCAGCATTGAATGGTACGGTGCCACCATTGTCGTGGTTATTGTAAAATTTAACAGCAGCATCTCCTTTTCATTTCCTACAGAGCATAAGGATATACCGCTATTAAATATTCATAAAAAGGTATTAATACGAACAGCCATGTGAATTACAGATCTGCGTTCCAAACCTATGCTCAAGGTGAAACAAATATCAAAAAGTTGCACTCCGAGCGTAAATTTGGAACGCAGCTCGGGCATTAAAAAATTGGCTTTATATATTCCTTTCAATAACACAGCACTACAGGACCAATAATAAACTTTGAATCGTCTAAAAGAACTATACAAACTTGGAATGGTTTTTTTACAGTTAGAGATTGTTTTCCTAGACCACAGTAGTGTCCAAAAATCAAATTCACAACAAGCATTTTAAAAGTATAGTAATTTTTGTCATTTACGGGATTGCTACCATGTACCTTGGTTTATCGAGTCTTCGTTAATATGACACTATTGCCGCCATATTAACGAAGTCACTCAAATAACATAAATTACTAAATGTCTGAAATAACGTCAGTTACCATGAAAGTTTAAAAAAACA